TTTTCTTGCATTCGGTCATTGACTTTACAGCAATCCCTCACACCAAGCATGCATTCAGCAACAGTGGAGAGGAAAAAATTAATTTTAACTGGAAGAAACCTCCAGCAGAATCAGGCTCAGTGTGAGCGGCCATCTGCTGAGGCCGACTGAGGTTCAAGGAGAAAGAAGCAGGCATACGGTATAAGAGGATCATATGAGTACTCTATATGTTCTTCTTGAACAAAATTCTTTATTGTAAATAATATTATTAATACTTAAACTCCAACACTGTCTAAATAAGGCAAACTTATAAATAGCTATTAAAAATAACATAAAACTATTAAGGTAAATATAGTTGCTTGCAGTAAAGTTGAATTCTTGTTGAATAATCAGCATGAAAATCTTAAAATAAGAAATGTAGCACTGGTCATATTTAGAATTGAAATATTAAATAAACTGATTAACAAGTGCCATGTACTCCATGCTAATCACTGGCTCTAAATTTTCAGTGATTGACAAACTTAGATTTTTTTTTTTACATTTCAGATTAATATATTGAAATTATTTATTGTTCCCTTTTATTTATCTTTGCCTCCATTGCAATGCAAATGTTATGATACAAAGAGCCTATATGTTGTAAAAGGAGCTTTAATAAAGACTATGGTAGAGGATCCCTAGGTTGCAACAAACCCGACAAAACATACAATAAAAAAATATAAACAAACTAATGTTAAATTTAACATCCATACTTTACTGTTAAAACACCTCATAGTAAGCTTGCATAATATTACAAATATTTTTGCACGTAGCAAGAACATAAAGAGCACTGTGAGAATAATAAGAGGTACTGGTTGAAGAGTTGTGTTTGGCTGGTTTAAGTCTAAATAAATAGTCACTGTCAGGTGCGTCAGCTTGAAAATTCGTAAATATCAAAGCATAAAAAACAGGTCCAAACCAAAGCTGGACACCATCTAGATTTATTAATTTTATATATTATAAGGATAAAAGCATCTAATATTAAACAAATATCCAGCTTTACTCATTTTTTCTCATTCACTTCCCTCTTAGAGGGGAAAAAAAAGAGTTCTTCTTTTACCTTTTTTTTTTTTGAACACATCAGCAAAGGAACACCCATCACTTTCCGCTTCTGTTTGTATAGATTGCTATCAAAAATCAAATGCCTATTAAGTTTCAACAAGAATTCGTAACAAAATCCCCCCTCATGGATTTTCCTCCAGCCTATTCTACGAGCACAGGCATGACCAAGCTTGCCTGGTTGTATCAGTTATTCTTCTGATTGTTATCTGGACGTTTACCCTTGTCTAAGTATGAGAAATGAATAATGAGGACCAGAGAGGGCGTGTAGGGACAACCATTTGTTTTTGAAGAAATCTTGCATCAGTTATGAATATATATTATATATTATATTATATATATATATATATATTTTTGGGAAATTGAAAAAAAAAAAAGAAGAATTGGAGGAAACAAAACGTGCACATAGAGTTTTGACCAAAAAAAATCTCATTAAGTTGAATATTATAAAAATGTATGGAGAAAATAGCATCCAAATTTATACCAGCTCTATGTTTTTGGATATTTTTAATTAAAAATAAAACTTATATTGATAATGAAATTTCTTAAAATAATTGTGTTCTCCTCTTGTACAAAATAAATCAATTTAAGGAAGCTTATGAGCTTACAAAAACATTAAAGTCAAGGTTCCACATAATTCCCATGAAGTCAGCAATGTGACGATAGGAAGTTAAAGATAACAATCAGGATCAAGTTGGACCTGTTTAGTTCTATAGCAATATTCCCTCCTCCGACTGAGAGGTTATAGTGGTGGTAGGTAGTAATAATAATAATAATAATACATTTTATTTCAAGCGCCTTTCAAAACACTCAAGGTCACTGTACATGTAAAAACAATAAATGGTAAAAAACAGTCGTCATAATTAAAAGAAACAACACAAATTACACAAAGGAAAGTAATATAAAATCATAATGAAAAGGCAATCTTGAACATGTGGGTTTTGAGTTTGGATTTGAATACGGGTAAAGACTCGGTATTGCAGATGTCAGAGGGGAGAGAATTCCAGAGTGTGGGCGCGGAACGTGAAAAAGCTCTGCTCCCCATGGTTTTAAGACGGGCTGAAGGAACAACTAAGTGAGTGGTAGAAGAAGATCTAAGAATGCGGGAGGGCGTAGAAATTTGAAGTAAATCAAATTCCAGAGAACTTTCTGCTCCTTTTCTTTACATCGCCTTTCAAATATAATTCATACTCCTGGACATTTTTGCATTTTATCAATTTAAAGCCACAAATGGCTCCTAACTAAAAATACTGTTCAGCCCATCATCCTTAAAAGGAAAGTGAATGGAACAGCTAAAATGACTTGAGGGATTAGGGAAACAATAAACAGAGAAGCAGCAAAGCACCCCATGGTAACTCCTGAGGAGCTGCAAAGATCCTAAAATCCAGTGGCATGCACAGTACTACAATCCAGGTGGTGATGGGATAAGTATTAGTCATGAACGCCTCTGGCCTTAGTGAAAAGACTGCAGAAAGAAAGTAACTGTTGAAACAAAACTTTGAGATGTGTTGCAGATTGTTGCTGCTCTATGCCAAAAAAAATAAAATAATAATAATTAAAAAAAGCTGTCATATGTGGACGCACTGTTTATACTTTATATATCCCATGCACCTTTATCTTGCTTCGGCACACCCTTCTTCTTTGACTGACGTAACAAGTAAATTTCTCCAATGTTATTGGAGTGCCATAATTTTGCAATTAAGTGCCATAATTTTGCATGCACTGGTCAGCCTGGGTAATATGCTGGTGTGAGCATCATGATGTTGACATGCCACTCAGTATGGAGAGAGAAGCTGGTCAGAGTCAAAAATAACCTGAACATTAATTTGGTTTCCAATCAAACAGAAAATCTATTGTCTTCTGATAATAGCTAATAGAAAATGTTGAAGTGAATGGGATTGCACAGACCACTAGTAATTCCCTGTGACTGTTTTTTTTAAACTGTCCTATTTTTAATGCAGCACAGGTTTGCATTTTGTCCAGAAACAATCCATCAGACAGACTTGAATGTATGCAAGCATTTAAGTTAATAGTTTGAATACTGGCTGAACTACAAAAGGTATCTTGCATTAAAGGTCTGCAAAGTGTGTGTGTAAGTCATAACAACTTGCTGTGGCACAATTGGAAAAGCTAAATCCCCATTACTTACCCATGATAGGTGCTCAGAAAGTAAAGAACAAAATTTAGATGTGATTCTGTGATCCTATTTGACAAGTAAATGCAGTTTTGTGTTTACTCTGAGGACGGTATACCCTGGCCTGCAAATCCATCACATGAGTTTGGTGATCATTTAACTAACCCTCTACTCGGAGCTTGGGCTGTGCATATTTGCCAAAAACACTATATAACCTTTTTCTTTTCCTTTTTTATTCAACAAGATATACTAGAATGCTCTGGAAAAGAATTTTGTCTTGTTATGAGGCCATTTCCATGGGACTATACTGTGTCGTAGAAAAGCGTTTACCTCTAGCTAGAAGTAAACACTAGCTGCAACTCTCTCTTCCCTTCTTTGTGGCGACAAACCCAATTTGTTATTACGAATTCCCTAGCCTCGGTCTAGATAATGCGTTGTAGACATAAATTCTACAATGCTGAATACAAGGCACATGATTTTCACTTGTTTAGTTTCAAAATCATAAAAAAAGGTATGATCTAAATACTTTTTTAAGGCACTGTACGTTCCATATGTTCTGTATATATTCTACCTATATAGTTGCTTGATTACAATTCTTGAAAGCAATTGTCTTTTATAGCATGGCGCAGCACAACGATGCATTTCTAAACCAAGGACATTGGCATGCTGTTATTGGGACGATTCCAGCTACACTTGAGTGTATGATAACAATAGACTGATGTAGGTGTGTGGTCCAGGGGAAGGCGAAGAACAGGAGGATGTTAAGGAGATCCATCTGCTTAAATAACAGGGGATTTGGCTGCAGAGTTAGTGATTCTCCAACACCTGTGGCTAAGAATCTTTGAATTAGCCTAAAAGACACACGTCTCTGCATGCACATACACATTCTCTTAGTGCACAGCTAAAATATTTAAAAACTCAGAAGCTGTGATAATGGATAATATGCAGCCCTGTTTAGCAGCTCAAAAGCTGTTGGCTATCGTTGAAATGCAAAGCGCTATCAGAAGTGGTGACATCAGTGTGAGCGTTGCAGTAAAAGCTTATCTGGAAAATTCTTTCTCTGAGACAAGAGTTAGGCCGCAAAGCAAGCATTATCTCTTAAGTGCGCTGATAGCCGCAGTAAACACAGAGCTGCTTGATGACATCCCCATTGGGTTTGTGCAAATGCATGAAGAGGGCGTTGACCCGAGTGAGGACACTAAGTATGTAATGGAGTAAGGTAGGTGTTAAGGGAGCCAAGTTTATTCAGTATAGCACAGTTCATGTATTGGGTCATCCTAAGGTATTTGTAGCAAAATACAGGAATAAATTTAAAGAAAGCTGCACTGAAACAAGAAATTTATTTTGACAATCAGAGAAAAATTCAAGGGTCAAATAAAATGGAACAGTAAAATTACATTTGGTTGACTTTCTTTCCAAAGTTAAAACTAAGATCTGCTCTTTAAAAGCTGTGCAATTTGTAACAATTCATTTTTGGGACCAATTACAATGACCTCTACATTAAACTGGAGAAAGTTTACTCCCATCCACTAACTCATATATGGAAAATTGGTCACTGTAAGAGACGTTGGTCATGTGTCACACATAAACATACTGTACATACAGGAAGATATGACATGATTTAGAAATTTATGATTTCAGAAGTTTTCATTTTCAAGACTTTTTTTTTTTTGGTGTTATGAAAATCTCCATATAACGGTCCCTGATTATTTTCTCTGATGTATGGCTGTCAGATATTTAAGATTTACCTTTTAATACCCCTTTTCCTTCTGTTTTCATTCTTTCTTTACAGAATTTCCGTCCCATCACCAGTGTTTCTGGCAGTTACGGTCGTAAACCGTCTTACACCTCTGAACCGCAGTCCCCACTTGCTCCTCAGCCTACTCACCTGAATAATGGGAACAGCAGACCTAACAACGGCCACAGCTACGGATATGGGAATGGGACTGGGCAGCCACAGTACAACAACCCAGCAGGGCTTTATGCTCTCAATGGCAGCAACGGAGACAGATCCCTGCCAGGCAAGATGGGGGGTCTTAGCCTCAGTGCCACACACAGGTGGGACAATAGAATTCCTTTTAACATAAAGTAATTACAAACATTAAACCACAATTTACAGGCTCAGTAGCTTACATGGATTAGATGTGAGCCTTTTTTCTTGTTTGTGTTTCATTCTCTTCTAATTTGCACCTAAGTTTGTATTTTGTTTTTATTTTATGCCTTTCTGTGCTTTTTTTCCCCCCAAAGAGCAGTTTTAAATAAACCCTAATTTAATGTGCTTGTTCCATGTAAACCCAGATTAAAGAGAGAACAAAGAAATCTACGTTGTCTTCCTGCTGTAACCTGTAAGAATGGAAAACAGTGAACCATGTCCGTGCTAGCTGTTAAGGCTTGTTGGCTTAAAGAGTATTTCTCTGTGAGATTTCCCAGATCAGCCTCGTTGCAAACCTCGGCTGTGAGAAAGTCGCACATGGAAGTAGGAGCGTATCTCCAGTGACTACCTCATATACCAAATCAACTTTCCTGTTGTTGAAACCACCTATGACATGATTTTGTTTCAAAGCAGAAATTCTATATGTCTCACTTTATATAAGCAAGCATGTGTGGAAACTAACACTGACGTACTTTGGATGTCCTAAAGCACACCTGTATGAAATGCGCCTTATAACCTGGAAAAGCCATTATCTGTTGTATGAAGATTCCAGCAGGTCATAAACCTTTGTCTTATGTCTCTGGGTGAACATCCTCTGCAGAGCTCCCAGTGCTCCCAGTGACTAGGCTGTTAATTCTATCCAGGTCTACACCGTGCGCTTAATGGAAAAACACAATATTTAAAACGGTTTTGATTGCATCCAATGCTTATTACTGTCCTTTTTTTTCTAACACATTTTTTTTTGTCTTATAAACTCACTCATGCTCCTGAATAGGAGCCTGGAGACAAACATGCTGTTAAGTGTGTCTGGATTTGTGCACATCTGTCAGCATTCTCACTCATCATCCCCTTAAAGTTTTAGGTTTTAAATCTGGTCGGTGAGATCTAGGAGTAATGCGGTCGATGAAAGAGCAAGCACAGGCATGGCACTGAGCTGTAAGGACTAACACTAAATCCATATGAAATCACATCCAGAGTGTAAATGAAATATCTATTCCAGTGTCAAGCAGAATAGAAAATGTTTTTACAAAAATTTAATGTAAAAAAAAAATTCATTAAGATAGAAAAAAATTGCTGTTTCTTTGTTGGGGAAATACATTTGGCATCTTCAAGAATTATATCCCTATTTAATCTTTAAAGCATTTGGAACTAGCCTTTATCTAATTTAAGGAAAATCAAAAGAAGAAATCTTAAATAAAACTTGATTTTCAGGTTAAAAAAGGAAAGGTTTTCCGTTTTAACTTCTTCAAGGAATATAATTCTATTTTTTCAGCATCTGATATTTGACTGGTGTCATCCATAGGTTGTAGAATGAGGAAAACTAGAGTATTTAAAGAAAACTAGTGTAGATTTTGCAATTTGAATAAAACATATTCTTATTTTAAATGTTGTTTCCCTAAAAAAAAATCTTTGAATTTGTCTTTTTATTTGACTTTTTCTGACTAAAACATTGTTGGATGAATAGTGTAGTTCAGCTCCAATGCATCTATTAGCCATTAGTCTATTTTCTCTTAATGTAGTGCGAGTCAGAGGTTCCCATGCTGATTCTGCAGATGTGACGTCAAACTACTCCATGTTATATGAGTCAAACCTAGCACACAATCGAAGCATTACCTGCATCCAACTCAGACACCAATGGCAACTCCATGTAAAGTGAAAAAAGTTAATCAGCAAAATAAAAAAATCTTGTCAACCACTAGCTATGAGAATGAGCATAAAAAAGCTGCACTTCTGTGTTTTGGCAACTGGTAGCAGTATTATTTGAAAAATAAATCTAGCCTCTTTAAGATGCTTTTTTTGTTGCATTTTTTGACAAAGATAGCTTCTATATATTTAATTAGAATCGGGCGGTAGATAAAGATTTGTGTAATACAGGATCCTTCAAATATTCATTCCGCCCTTCCTTTCATATTACTATATGAATGTAAATCTCTTCACAAATCCTCATAATTTATTGAATTCTTTGTGAAAACATTCACTGAGTCATGCTTCTTATGTGGTTTTTAGCCCAGAGCCTCCTCCACAGTCTCCAGTGAGCCGTAATGGTTTCGACCCCCAGTCAGACGTCTACAAGATGCTTCAGGACTATGAAGAGCCCGTCTCTGCCCCCAAACAGTCTGGATCCTTTAAATACCTCCAGGAGATTCTAGATGCTGAGGATGGAGGTAGGAATTTGTGTCTTTGTGTTTAATAATTCAGCAACTACTGGGTTTGGGTTTAGTCCAGTTGTTTTTTTTTTCAAAAAAGATCTTCAAAAACATAATATTTTGAATGTCTTATGTCAGTTATGCTGCATTTCAGCTTTATTTATTACTGGTTCCAACTAACAAAAAGAATGTTTTACAAAGAAACATTTTGATTGGCTATGTCAAACAGTCAAATTTTATTTTAACAAAGCTGTATAGTAATAGCTGCAGCTATGCTTAGTTAAAAAACTAAGTAGGCATAAAATAAGCTTCAGGAAGGCCCACATACATCAGTGCACTTCTGCAAAGCACTACATATAAACACAAGATCTTATGAACAAACAGTTCCTCCTTTGCAGATGTGGCTTGTGATTCTCACTCAGGCAACCTCTGACTGTTTGAAGCTTCACTATCTTTGTAGCATAGTTTTCCTTTTATAGAAAAACACAGACAACAGAGTTAAATAAGAGATAGGAAGAAAGACAGTGACAGGGAGAGTAGAAACAGAAAGAGAAATGTGAAGTGCTTTGTAATAGCTCTGGCTCATATGAAAATTCTGGGGACAGACATTTTGGTAAGCAATTTATTTCAAAGACTACTTCACAGAGGACAATAAAAGGGAAAAATATGGTTTTCCTTTCCAACAACTTGGCATTCCCACATTAGAGCAGGAGTCACATGATGCTGACAGCAGCAGAAGACGGTTAATCCCTGTAACTAAAACCTCTTTACAGTCCATGTTTACCATTGAAGCTAAACAATAGTTTTAAGGAGTGGAGGAAGTAGTTATAAGACAGAAGTTTGGTTTGTTCATTCAAGACTGTATTTACACACCAATAACCAAAAGCATTACTCATTGGGGAAAGTATTTTCTTTAACCAACATTACATTTACCGGTAGTTCAGTTTTTCCTTTAACTCCATCAACTGCATCAATCATTTAATCTAAATAAAGCTGTTTTTCCGTATAAAATCTAATAAAAATAATAAAAATAAAAAATAAATCTGTTTGTTTATAGCTTCAAGTAAGAAAACCTAAATCATACCCTGAACTCTTCTCAGCTTTAGACATTTTGATTTTGGACTGGATTTGGTTTCGGTTCTGCCACTGATGGGTGCGTGAAAAGAGAAATACTATTACACTCAAAAATAAGCTTGTTGAAATAACACCTCACAACTTAAGAACATTCATTTTACTAGTTAGCAACACATTCTGACTTCTGTTCAGTAAAATAAAATAGACATAAGGAATGCTTGTATGTAATCTAACAAAAAAAAAAAAAAAAGTGAACTTGATTCGTGCAGTCGTCGTAATAGATTATCATCTCTTAAGCCCACATATTTGGGCTTAAGAGATGATAATATTCATCCGTTAATTTCCTTTTTGTGATTTACTAAACCAGAAGCTTTTCCTAAAATCAAACAAACATTGAAAGTGAAAATTTCAAAGGATTACTACACATTTGTAATCTGAAACTCTAGCCTAGTTTATTTGTTAGTACTGTAAAGTATTGTGAGTTTAAAGTAGGATTAAAATTCAGACAAGAACCAGAGGGCACCAAGGTAGATGGTTAAACAGTAAAGATACTAAACTTACAGGTAGTGAATAAGAAGAACGGGAGATGAAGTACAAAAGAATCAGGACAGCTGTGGCAAAGTAAGTGCAGGGACGAATAGATTTACAAATTAATGGTAAAAACTAGCACTGTTTCATGAGGGTGAATAAAGTGCACACAGAACAGAAAACGTTTTCTAAAAAACTAAAGACTGAACTGAATGAGCCTTTATGGAAAGACCTTGATGACCAAAAAAAAGTCCAATCGTTCAGAAACAGATACCACAAAACTAAACAAAAAGGGCAACTACATGTGGATCATGGCAAGTACTATACATAGCTCCACTGTTGGGAATCAGCTTTTCTTATTCAAACATAGTAATATATAACTTCTATGAATAAATAGATTTTGTCCTGCATAGAGTCTTTTATATTTATTTCCTCCCCTACTAATAATGTAAATAGGAACCAATAAATGTATTTTGTTCCATAGTTTAATTTCTCTTTTTTAGCTTTGGGATTTCTGTATATGATGGCAAAATAAAGTGGATCTTAATCAAATTGCATTAAATGTTAGGCATTGTTCTGTCTGCATCTACGGTGTCTCTTATTTTTTCCAGTTTGAACAGTAAATAAAAATGTGACAGTCTCTCGTATCATCGCTAGTTAGATCACTAGTTATCTTTCTTTTGCTGAAATAGGACTGACATCTGGCAGGAAACAGGCAATAATGTAGTGATACAAATACAAGAGAATCTGATAATTACTGGAAAACCTGCGGTTTATATATAAACAGAAAGGGGCTGGTTACTAAACAAGAGGGGCTGATTAACATTACAGGATACAGTTTAAGAGAAAATACACAATCAAAACAAGTGGAAGAAGTCACAGGGATAAGTTGAGCTATATGAAAACAGTTAGTGGTATTAAAGAAAATGTTTAAACTTGTTTTCCAATCAATCATGAATTTTAATTAATGCATAAAAGACAAAAATGCTTCACATACTTTGAGAGTGCCGCATTTGTACCACAATTTTGTTTCTAAAAACAACAGATTACCGATTACAGATTAACTGCAAAAAGTATTTTTTTGTTGCAGTAGGGCTGTTTCTCACAGATTTAATGTGAAGCAATTTATATTGTGTGGTTTTGTTTTTTTGTATTTGATACTGTCACAACATTTTAGGTTATACCTTTAAAGTGAGTGCTGGCAGGATAATTCACAGCAACAGAAACAAAGCAAAGTGCCCCTGCAGCGATGCCCGGAGCAAATCCAAACCACAGCTTTTTAATTCATTACCTCTCAAAACACTTAGATGAGTACAAAAGACAGCGATGAAACAGGAGGCAGATCCTAACGACAGTTGAAAGCAAAAGAAGGGAAAGAGAATCTAAGACTGTTGATGGACTTTAAGCTTGGTTGGACTAAAAGGTTGATTGACACTTAAAGCCCTTGTTGAAACAGTAAGATGCTACACGTTTACACAGGGACTATTAAAAGCTGCTCATCTCTTTGTTGGTTTCTACTTCTTTTAATCTGTTAAAATCTGAAATCTGTCCACAAACATTGGATCTTTGTTGTTTTTTAAAATGGTGCTCCAGCAAATAAACAACGCATGTTTAGTTTGACCTTCTCCTTTAAGGAAAATCACTAAATCTTTCTCTTAAAAGCATGCTTCATGTCAACCATTTAAATCTCTTTAGTGTGTAGCTGTCTGAGGGCAAAAGCTCCTGCAGAGGTCATGTTGTCTTTGAGGGTCTTTTAGGGTTAAAGTAAACAAGAGTGTCAGTTAACCCGAAATTCCATGAGCTCTAACTCCGTTTGACAGAACTAAAGGTGGAGTTCCGGTTATAAAACATATTATTTCTTTAAGCGGGTTATTAACAGAAACACAGTGTTGTTGCTTTAAGCAAAACATTACACACTGTTTTGCCCAAGAAGAAGCTCGGAAAAATATAAATCACAGATAAATAAATTGAAAAGAGGATGACTCACTAGGTGTGCGGTTAACATTCCTAGATTTTATCAGTCTACCACTGATACCGTGCGGAATGTAGTTGAGATAAAGCTGCGTTTTTGAAGAAATAACGCCTAATTTTTACATTTTTTTTTAAAAATACACCTGAACTGATTTGATTCTGCTGGTTTTATGTGATTTTTTTTTCTTTCACAAATGTATTTTATGCATGCCATATGTATGGTATGGTCTTACAATTTATTAAAAGCAAACTGTATACTTAAGCCCAAAATTATTGATATCCCTGGTGTATTTAGATTCAAATGAATCTTTAACTTTACTAACATGTTTCCTTTGACTAAAGTAATGTTGACTTTTAAGAGTGCCAAGCTTAACTTCTACCGCTGCTAGAGGCGCTCAGACCTCATACCTGCAGTGTGCGGTCACTGGGAATCCCCAGCAGAAGCTGCCTCAAGCTGGGTCGCCTCTTTGGGGCCTTTCCCCTACTCTTAGTGGCGGCTGGAAGTAGATGTTAGCATTTTTCAGGTATGTGTTACAAACCGTAGGCACCAGAATAATAAAAGTGAACATATTTTGCCGGCAGGTTTTTACATTTTAAGTTAATTTGGGCATAAATAAACAGTTTCAGTGGAGTGATCATAGCGCTCTGCATCAGCAGCGCTGTCGGTCTCCCTGCCAGCTCCCTAATCGGCTTCTCTGATTGGTTGATGTGGCGCATCGAAAAGCAAAAGTTGTAATTTTTCCAACTCCAGCATCTGCTGCTTGTGAAATTTGTAACATTTGAGCAAAGTTTCCAGGGAAATTTAGGCCATACCAAAGCCATACATCCCAAGACAGGACGTACAATTTGTCATATTTTCAGTAAAAGGGGAAATGATGTACGGCGGTATGCATTGTTGGCTTAAAGCCTGTTGCAGGGGCAAAACTAAATAAATAAAACCACCTTGCCAGGGACACAGTGTAACATACCAGACTGTGGGACAGCTAATTGTGATTTATGTACATGTAGTTCAGTTTCAAAATAGAAACAAGTTTCAAATATTTAACCATTTTAAACTAATCAGGGCTTTATGAGATAAAATTTTACACCCAGTTTTTAAAAAGGAGCGCTACAGCAGGTCATTCATCCCCGCTGCAACCAGACTCTACAATGCAACACTTCAATGGCAATAACTTGTGCAATGTATAATGTGCAATTTACTATCTGATACCCTGTGCAATAACCTGTTTCTCTATATTTGACACCCAGTGCAATAGCGATATATATATATATATGTATATATAAATATCCATCTATATAAATACCCATGTAAACACCCTTTGTAATAACCCAGCATAATGATCCTACTATTAAAAAAAAAATCTGTCAAATGTGGACCCACTGTATATACTTTATATTTTTCATGCACCTTTTTCTTCCTTTGGCACATTCTTCATCTTTGACTATTTTAACTGATGTAACGAGTAACTCTCTCCACTGTGAGATCGATAAAGTCAATCAATCGATCAAAATTATATCTTGATAAAAAACCCTATGGCTGTCTACTTATGGTTGATGTTGCTCAAATGAGTGACCAGGCTGTACCAGCTTCTGTATTAAGACTAAATTGGATGGGTCTCATGGGTATAAAAGGTTCTGTTTGCACTGGAAAGTGCAATGTTGCAGGCAAAGTAGGTCAGATAATGTTGTTTTGCATTATAAAATGGACTGTAACTGGACTACTGTATGCAGTTGCTACATTTGAAAAGTGATAACTCAAGCAAGACTAGACAAGTCCTCATTCATTGTGCTTTCTACACTTCACTGTGTTTGGAAACCATTTATTAGTCAGCCTAATTGGTAGAAAGTCACACTAGAATTATGGAGCTTCTTTTTCCATTACAAATTACGTAGTATAGATATTAAAACCACATAGAATGACTAATGTCAGTTGTTAATACAGCATAAGGCTTAGCACATGTCTTTTATTACTGAGGGATAGAAGGTGCTCTAAGCCCAGTTCCAGATGCAAGGTAATTAAACAGTGGTTAGTGGTTGTCCTAGCGGCCCTGCCGGCCTGAAAATCCTCTGCTGGCACTTCATCAGTAAAGAGGGGTCAGATTCCAGTTTGGGCATGAACTCCTCTGATCTGCCTTACTGCACCTTCAACTACTGAAGTAGATTTGACATCCAGTTGCTTTCATACCGTTTAAGAAGGCATAACTAAACACCGATGATCTAAGCCGACAGCTCGTCATAACACATGGCATCTGTGGGAACCTGTCTCTACCAACAGCAAGACATCAACCCCTATCACTTTTGCGTCATTGCTGAAATAGATTGTAATGAGATTTTAATTTGAAGTTTAAGATGTGAAGAAGCTGTCTCCATTTGCTCTTGCCAGGAAGATTAATGTTATCGCATTAATCTTGAATTCTGTACATTGGGATATTTTTACTTTTATCTGTCAGTTTTGACACGTTGAATGATTAATTGGTACCAGGAAGTGGACAGTGGAAACTTGAATAGAGTACACAGGGACGTCATGGGGAGAATAAAGCATCAAGAGGAAGAAAAGGGAAATTTGAGACAGTGATATAAGGTTTAGAAGAAAGAGGGGATAAAGTATTTCAACACTTTCATTTTTGTTCTGTTGGCAAAAAGAGCCTAGTGCTGTGCCTAAACTTGCATTAGTTCCTGTAGTTTCTAAAGTTCATAGTACAATAAATACAACAATAAAGTCCATAAGAAGGTAAAGACAAGTGGGGAGTTTAATACACTTTTTTTATTATTTAGACCGTATGTGTGGTATTGATTTGAAACTATGGCTGGTGTGCTTGTGAGGACATCTGCTAGTGTTCAGTGTAGTTAGCACTGTATAAGGACAATTATGGGTTTCACAAAAACTAATTGTAGGGTTGTTGCGCAATGGAAACATATTATTATGCATTTGACTTGTTATATTTCAAGCTATCTATCAGAGCATACTATATGAAGAATGGATTCATATCATAGCTTTATAAGTTTATAAGTTTTATATAAAATGTAAATGATTGAATTTACAGGTATGTTTTATATATATGTATATACGTAGAGCTATATATGTATATATTTATGTTTGTATATCTGGAACGTGTTACAAAAGTAATTTCCCTCTGGGATTATTAAAGTATGTCTGAGTCTGAGTAAGTTTCTGTTCCTGCAAACACATCAACTTTACATGGAAACATGTGCATCTTGCAATGGTAAACATCATTTGTAGCAACGTTCTACAAATATACTTGTACCTTGTTATTCTAACAGCAATTACTGTATTTAATGCTCAAAAATATATATTACCTGACAGTATGAGGGGAAAAAAAAAAGGGGAGGGGGGGATTTTCTGCTTTATACAGAATTAATATTCAGCATTTTTAGGTGTTCAACAGAAAATAAATGAATTTTACCTCCAGCTAAACCATAAAAAGAAACTTATTTTATTGAAGTTATGATCACCTTTCCCTTTATTGATAAAATTAATGTATTCAACAGTAATTCTCATTAAGAAACCAAACCTGTATATGGTAAATACAATGAAATTGTTGAGGTTTATAGATCTTGCAAGATCCCAGACCTCTGAAAATTGTTGGTTGAAAGTAAAGTTTTATTTATTGTTTTCTTGCCAACAGGTTTGTCACCAACAGAAAGGATGAGAAGCTTAAGGTCTCCAGTCAGGTCTCCGATACCAAAACTAGGAAGCCCAATTCCCCCTCCAACGACTGGTCTGCAGAAGCTGCCCCAATGCACACGCTGCTGTAATGGCATTGTGTAAGTATTTTACAAGATATAGTACAAAGATAGGGTAAAAAAACAATAAATATTGTGTCAAACTCCTCATTTCAAAGACTCAACTGAGAGAAAAACCATGCTGCATATTATATTGTTATTTTAGATATAAGTGTTGACTGTGGAAACACTTAAGCTGCATCTGGAAATCGTATATCTTCTGCCTGTTTTGTCACGTCCCCTTTGGTCATAAAGTTTTAAGACCCAAACCATGCTAGGTGAGTCAAGGTTTTACTCTGGCTGGAATCCGTGAGGTTAACTCACACCAGTCAACCTGCACCAACAGGCCATCATTTCTCAGAAGACGTATTTTAATGATTAATCAAAGCCAAACTCCACACCCTTTCCCATGCACCCGATACCACATAGCCGCATGCTTCTATGTACATTTATAAACCAACACACAGAGACACAGTCTGTTTTCCAAAGGATAAGCAAAGGGAGAAACCCCCACCCCCAAACCCACCCCCACCCCAATAAAAAGCTGCCACAGGTAGGCGATGATGTCATAAGCTTATATTACTGGTTGACAAGAAAACATTGTGGGGGTTTGCCAGAACAGAAATCCTGTTATGACCTCTGAGCACTTTACAGCCAGCATGTATAGAGCTTTGTGACAAGGGTTCATACAGCCAGCCATGTGTGGTTTAATTGTGTTTAAGGAAAACACACTGCACTCCAGAAAGTAAAACATTAAACTGCTATCACAATGTATCTTATCTTTGCATATCTGAAAACATGGTATATCTACATCTAAAAGTAAGTGCGTAATGCAGTTTTTATGGAATGCTATATTAACATAGTTTTGTAAAGTGTGTGTCACAAGTGATTTGGCCAGTGTGCTCCCGCAAAAGCACAGATGTAGGTAGACTTTCTGTGACCTCACAATGTATGCTCTTTCCTAACCTTGTGATTCCCTCTACAGAGGTGCATCTCAAAACAAGACAATTATATTGTGATGTTGTCCTGTACTTTTTATCACGGTTTTTGCTTCACTACCTTTTTTCGTTAAAGCTGCTGTTGAGTTGTTTAGCCTTTTGGTGCTCTGTATTGTTAAACATTAAATTAACTTTACAGTTAAATGTTACAACAATTTAGATTTGGAAAGTCTTTATTATTTAGTATTTATACTTGACACCATTGTTTAGGTGTAGACCAGTTGTAGATGTTGCAGTGCTGGATTGCATCTCTTTTTATCAAGTTGCTTTGGCAGGTAACTGTACACAGAAATGTAATGTTATGAGTTTAATGCCTAAAAGGAGTTAGTGTTTTTCTTGGACAAAAAAATAGCAGCTTTTTAACCTGCACCTGGAGTTTGGTGAAGTTAGATTTATTGCCATCCTTAGATCCAAGCTGCGATGCTCAAGCAATGATAGAAAAGTTATTTTTGCCTCTGAATGCACTAAAGCATCCTTTGAGAACTTCCCTGATATAACATTTGGGTAGATATATATCCAAATGTGCACAGGGTTTAGGTGGCTGTAAAAGAAGACATTATGGCTCATTTGAATAGATATTGGTTGAATAAACAGCTGTGTCAGTTTATCAAAACTTATTACCTTTTAAAGTCAAAATACATAGTCCCTGCTATGATACCAACTCCGTGAGCGACTCCAAATATATCTGAGTGCTTTGTTCACAATTGAATGTAACACTCCCATGCATTTTCGTGTTTTTTTTTTTTTAGTGCAGTCCCTTTGAAACTCTAAAAGTTAAAAAAAAAGTGTAGCTGTGACTCAAGGAGGCTGTAGGTGGTGGAAACCCAACATTTCTTTATTTTGAGCTTAAGAACATGATAATCAAAACATAATAAGCACACACCCATAGACACAGTGGCTCTGAATAGCACACGCCCCAAAAAAAATAAACATGATGAATCATTTGAAAACTTTGCAAATGTGAAGTAAGATTTATTCCTGTCTAATTTAATCAAAAAGAGACACAAAATTATGCATAAGTGTGCAAAACTCTAAATGAAAAATTTTTCAAACCACCTTTTGATTTCCCCCATGCATTCAGTCTTATTCAATAGAAGTCTTTGTCTCAGATCTTGTCTCACATTTGGTTCTGGACCCCGACTTCATTCTAAAACCTTCTCTTAGTAAGTCCATATTTTTTATTTTTTACTTATGGCCAGACTCACCGTGATAAATTAAATCCTTATTGACTTTCTGCTCTATAGCTATCCAAAATAAGAAATAAAAAATACATGATACAGTTCTGTTTCATCCACCTTAATAAAGAGGTAAATTATATGAGAGCATTATGACGTCACTGTGTGTCACAGTGGACATGGCATACTTTTGGTGAATTATCCAAACATACCTTTTGAAAACATTTCTGAATGCATTTTGTTTCACAAAAAAAAAAACAAAAAAACAAAAAAAAACAAGATGTTTATAGATTTTTAACGAGTGGAAATGTTTTTTTTAAGAAGAAACCACTTCTATCTTGTGGTCAAACTGTTTAGCTTATGTCAATAATACTAAAGATTAATGGCACATGTGCAAAACAACAACAACCAGAAAATCTCACAAGATATGTTTCTATCAGATTTTTCTAATTCACATTTAGAAGTATCACATTAGATAAGCTTGATGGAAGTGGCAAAATTTGATTAAACTCCCTTCATAAAAAATTTTCTGCGCTCAATTAAGGTGGTTTTGGCTTTTGCAAAAAAGCATTGATGCACGGCACAGAAGATAGAAACAGATCTGATGTAGCAAACTCTTACTGATGTGACGAAACAGCTGTTCAACAATGTTGGGCACCTTTGCAGTGCTTGGTTAATACGCTTAAACCTGAATTGTAAACAAAGGAAATTTGCATTTAAAATTTTTGAAACTTAGTTACATTTTGTTAAAAGGTAGGATTTTCCTGAATTTTTTAAAAGACCTGCCCTCTCCATCTTAAATATTCATATTTATGATTCACGCTTTAAATACTGTAACCTTACAAAGTGTGTGCTTCAATATGGTGTAATATAGAAATAAGTTGCTTTTGGCTTTGTGTCTTTTTTGAAAGGGAAAGTATAGTAAAACCACGACGTAACTTTTCTAGAAAGAAAGAAGGAAAGCTAACCCACTTTGTTTCCTGTGACTTTTACGCAGTGGCACCATTGTAAAGGCCCGGGACAAACTCTACCATCCAGACTGCTTCATTTGTGATGACTGCAGCATCAACCTAAAGCAGAGAGGCTACTTCTTTATCGAGGACAATCTGTATTGTGAGACCCACGCCAAGGCACGAGTCCAGCCACCTGAGGGCTACGATGTCGTGGCCGTGTACCCCAACTCCAAGGTGGAGCTGGTCTAAGATGAAGAGAATGGCTTTCATTTGCATCAGTAATGGGAAACAGAACATAGTAGAATTAGGCTACTGAGCATCCTAGCCAGCACTGATCAGGCTCTGTCCAGTAGGACTGCTGATGTTGGATCAGTTTTGCCTTCTTTGGTCCGGAGAGTTGTGTTAAACTTTAATGATCCCAGATCAGTACTCTCACACTGACAGGTTTGATAAATGCTTTGCATAGTGAAATATGTAGACAGGTTGAGGCCTGGAACTGATACATTTCCAAAAAACATTCTCCTGAAAACTGCTATCATTAATCTATTGTGTTTGAACCTAATTCAAGAGAAACAGCTGAATAAGTTTTGCTCATACTCGGAGAACAGTATTCATGTGCACAGTCTGATAACAATTAGTTCAGTAGCCTGACATTCTGTAATTTAGAAAATTCTCAAGTACACATTGCAAAAAGAAGACAAGGAGAATTCAAAAACTATTTTGTTTCTTGTTCTTTTATAATCTGCAGTTTACACTCCAATGCAGTTCGCAGGGATCTGTAGTTCAAATGTTGGTTGAAGGGCTTAAATTGTCATTTATCACTGCTACAGGTAAATATTTTACTCATGCTGCTTCTAACTTACTGGCAGTTCTATTTTTAGACTTTTCAGTTTTGCAGTTAAGGCTATTTTTCTCATATTAGCTCACTTTTCCACAGCTCTCACATGAAATTTACTATCAAATGTCATCCAGAAGCTTTGTAAGCAGATTTAAGGAATGTATCTTGTAGTAAACACCTTTGTATACAAGAAGAACTACTCGGCCCTACAGTTATTTTCACCTCTAGTAAAAAAATAAATTATTTTCACTGCAACACCAGAATCTTTGGTAACAGGGAGTTTGGTGTCAAATTAAATATTGGACCTAATCCAGCCTTGTTTTGCAGTTGTCTTAAAGGTGCATGGTCACACATGACTTTTTGAAATGTATACGCCAGCAGTCACAGTTTTTTTGTTTGTTTTTCCTAATTGTAATAGTACATAAATAGACATGAAACAAACATCACAAGTAGATATATTGATTTGTTCCTACTTTGATTCTTTTCCTATTTTTGTTTGTTTGTTAAGAACAAGAATCTTGTTTTTTCTTGGTGTTCTGATAAGTGGCTCTGGGGAGGAATCACTAGAACTTAAGAGTTGCTGTAGATTAATGTTTTTGGTTAAGATTTGCTCTTTGACTTTTGGCAGCTGTTGCTTTACAGCTTTATTAAGTAGCTGTATTCTGATAGCTCCTTTGCTCTGTCTGCAGATGCCGTACATGTCTGTTTATGTCTGTTCATAAAGCCCGTTGCTGGAATTCCATTTAGGCTCAAAAAGGACTAAACACTATTAAGACAGTCGCTTGGTGTATTTAGCCTTATTTTATGATCAATTCTTTTGTTTTGTTATTTTGTCTGGGCATATAGTGTGACTATGCACCTTTAAAACTTTCAATTGTTGTTTTGAATATAGTGTAGGTCAGAATTAATTGTGGCACATGGCAAATGTAGTTGCCAATATTGCCAAAGGCGCCGTAAAATAACCGTATGTGCAGAAGATAAGTTTAAAACTTTGATAAATAACAATTACTACTTAGTTTTCATGCAAGTTTAACAAGTGACATGAAAATGATACGAAACCTGAGTTTTATGACAAATAAACTCTCTGTCCCAGAGCCTGGAGACGGGCCATTTGGAGCAGATTATAAAGGTTATTCTGAGGATGTTTTCTTTCCTTTGCACCTGACTGGGAGAGGAATTTCAGTTATCGCTGTGAAGCATTCCTTTTCATAAAAACAAGAGTTCCCTGGGTATTTTTAAAGCCTCCTCGGGCTGACACAAGTATCCCCTCTACTTCTCCTGACAGCTTTTAATATGGCTTTGTGCATTTGTGTCCAGAGACAAAGCCATGGAAAAACGGCTTTAGATCAAACTTAAAACTTGTAAACGGGGAGTTCACTGCCTACAACATGTGGGAGTAATACCCTCCGTTTCGGTTTTTCTTGGAACAGCATCTACTTGGAAGAGAAAAAATTGACAGAAGTTGGAAGCAAGCATCTTTTTTTGTCTCCATCTTACTGTGAATTCATGACTCTGATTAGAGCCAGGGTCATAAAGCAAATGAAATATGTTTCGACATTTCCTTTAAGGAGAAAGGACAAAGTGTCAAGAGGGGATGAGAGACCAGAAACGAGTTAGATGACATCTAACTTCCTTTCTTAGAAGAAGAAAAAAAAGAATGTCATTTTATGACCATGAGTGTATTCCTTTTTTGCAAAGTGAAGTGAACTGGGTGGACAAGAGTGATTTCCTTCATTTCAAACAGTTTTTTAACATCACTATTTTTCAAATCTAAAGTAAAGAGTGCCTTTTGTTGTAGTTACTCATTTATTTTAGCTTCTTTGCTTGAAATCTTTAAATTATGTGAAAACCTTTAACATTACCACACCTGTCTCTGGTCATGTATATATTTTTTGTTGGGAATTGCTTTAACACGGTATACTTGTCACTCACAAAGCTTTGGCATTTAAGATTTTTCTTAAAAAAAAAACTATTTTTTTCCTCTTGTATTTAACTTATTGTCCTGCCAACACAGAAGTTTGTTTTCCATTTACTCTTTTTTTTTTTTTTTTCTTGGTTTTAAATAAAACAAAATCTGCAAAGCCATCACGTGTTAATTCACATTTTTTCTGGACCTGTCTACATGATTACCTAACAGAAAATCTCTAAAACACAAGTCCCTTCCATTTGTCTTACTTATACATTTCATTTTGAGACGTTTACTTTTTTATCTGCATATCTTGCAGTGTAAAGGCTGCAGAATTTGTGTCATGTATTACAATTTCTCAGACTTGCACAGAGGCTGTATATATATGATCATGTTTAAAATAATCTTTTTTTTTATAAAGTTAAGAAAGAAGGTTATGATATTCATCCAGTACATTTAACTGTGAAGTCTTGAAACGAATCACTAAAGCAAATTTAACCATATTTTTAAATTCCTATTCAAGGTACAAATACAAAGTAGCTGAAAATTAGGAAAATATGAACAAATCAGTCAAATTAGACTGGAAAAACAAAATGATAACCGAACCAAAAAAAACTGATTGAATGTATCTCATCAGTTCCATTCCCCCCCCCCCCCCCCCCCCCCATGTAGAACCAAATACATAAGAAAATAAAAAAACTGAACCGGGCTCCAGTTCAGATACAGTAACATCCAATCCAATTACTTTATTCAGTTAACTTTATTTAACAAGTTTATTCAATCAAATTGCAAAGAGTTCATTGTGACCCAGCAATGATTAAATCCATACGTGATTCTCTTCATTAAAAAACTTAATATGAATCTGAACTTTGCTTCAATCCTCCAACATGAACACAGTGAGAGTTAGATGTATATATTTACTAATAATGTCGCCATTATGACCTATTTATTACACAGTACAATATGTTTCTTTGAAACATACTTTTTTTTGTCTTGCAGCAAAAAAATAGTGACTCCTTTTTTTTTTTTTTTTTTTCAAAAATCAAGTACACAGAGTTTCCCACACGTGTCTTTCAATAAGAATTCCAACATCATGATCAGAGAGAAAAATCCCCTACTTGCTGCAGGTACCATGACTCTTTGGACAATCTGATACTGCTTGTGAAGAGAAAGAAAAACAGAAAAGAAGTGTGATAATCTTCCCCTTTTCAGTCCTTCAGGTTTATACCACAGATTAAGTGCAGATAGTCAACAAAAATATACAACCCGGATAAATGCTTGTTCTTTCCTTAGCCCACTTTCTGATTTCTGCTTTTGCCTGATTTTGTCTCTCTAAAATATTCCATATTATGGAATATGGAATATTTCCATATCATTTGACTCAACAATGGACAAAAATAACCTGAGAAAATACAAAAAAAAAAAAAGATTTTTGATTATCATTTTCTTTATCAAGGAAAACAGCTATTAAAAACACACTGGTCCTTCTTTTTCTCTATGTGTTTTTTTTTTCTTTCAAAACCTAAAAACAGTTTGTATTGCTCTTGGCAGCACCAACTTCTCATCAAACTTTAGTCTAAAGTGGACATAAGTTTTCTACATGTCTGTGGAGAAACTTTATGGTGTGTTGGTTAAACCTGTAGCATTTCAGGTAAATTTAAGCTCAGCCTTCCTCTGAGTCAGTCAGGTTGAGTGGAGGTTGGTGCGGGTTTAATGAAATAAAAAAGGCAACAGAAACAAAATCCACGAGCCAAAATACAGGAAACCAAAAACTAGGAGATGTCGGGTGAACCCACACATGGGGAGCAAAGTAACAACAAGAAACCAGCAATGATAAACTGCAGAGGAGGTGTATATATGGGGGACAGGACAAAAATGGGCTGATTTGGAGCAGGTGTGGATAGAATTAACTAGAAGGGAGCTAGGGGAAAGGAGACTGGAACAAGGGGGCAACAGAGAGCAACTCAAGAAATACAACCCAGCTTAAGTAGAACACAAAATTGAAAAGAAAGCAATGACTAACAAAACAGAATGATATAAATAACAGAAAATTCAAAAAGAAGTCCAAAAGGGGAGAACCATAACAGAGTCACTCATAAAGATATTTTCTTTGTTCTAGACTTGGACTTGCTTGTGTCTTTCAAAATATGTGCTAATGCAATGCTAGGTGAAGGTAAGTTTTAAATCACAAACTAATGGCAGAATAATACGTTTTTTTGTGACCTCTTGGTCATTTTTTTAGATTAATTACTTAAAATCTATTAGCTAACCTGTAAGAACAAACCAAATATATATATATATATATATATATATATATATATATATATATATATATATATATATATATATATATATATATATATATATATATATATATATATATAGAGTTAGAGTGATCTTTTAAATCTAGCACTAACCTGGGTGGTTAAATTAATTTATAGAACCCAGAAATTGATTAGTTGTTGTATTCTGAATTTGCCAAGGGGGCTCCTTCATACAATAACTAAGGTGCAAAAAACATATAAATCAATGAATTGACAGCAAACTCAAAAATTGAGCTGAGATACAAAATCACAAAATACATGGGAGAAAAATGCTAAAAAAGATCTATGCAACAAGTCAAGATGTTATGATACATTTGCTAGTTAAGAAAAACTAGCTCTTCATAGCGGCGGTAGGCAGTACCGGGGTGTGGGGGGTTGCTTCCCCCTTCTTAAAAAATCCTAAAAATCATCCTGCTTCTTAAATGATCATCCCCCCATACCATCCCCTGTGACATTTTATTACTGAATGTGTAAAATTTCTACTATGTATTAACAGTAGTGGCAATAATATTGCCCTTTATACATCTGGCAGGCTGTGTGTTTACAATTAGCCTCAACAAAATAAATAAAATCATTGAAGCGGCCTACCATGACTATGAAGCTGATCCCAGGGGGAAATTTATCCTCTGCATTTGTCCCTAACTCTATAGGGACAGTTAAAGCCATGCCAGTCCAGGTACTGACTGCAGTTCTACTGTAAGCTGCCTTGATCAAAGTCAATGACGGGCATACCTGACATGTTGCTTTAGGTTTATAGACTATATTAATTAGGCTATGTACAGTATGCCTAAAAAAAAAAAAAAATTCCACCATCCCCCTTCTTTTTTATTTTTAGGGGTTATGGCTACAAACCACTAGGAGGAAATGATCAACAAGTCAAATGGGACTTAATAGACATAACTACAAATTAATGTGTATGAACCTGATCCGCTGCAAAAACATTTTTAAATGCAGTTTAGAGGACATTTTGATGGAAGAAGGAAAAGTTTTTCTTTTAAATGTTTTTCCAGCACTACAGTAACTCTCTGACCATATGTTCATGTTTTTACCAACAGACTGATCCGATATGAGTGGATGATGATTTCCCCTAGTGGTCTGGAGCACTTCCATTAGGCAGGGCTAGTGTGGTGCGTTTCTAACTTGCTGTTTGTGTCTTTCTGTTTTCTGTGATTACAGCATTTCTCCTTTGCAGTGGGTTTCCTTTGCATAGGTTTGTCTGTTATTCATTTTTTTTGTGTTTACTAGTCTAATTTTCTTATTTGCTAGTCTCTTTTTGCTCTTTTTAGTGTCATTGTCATGCTTTATTACTTTTTGAATTGCTGTAAATTCGTGTTTGCACCCCTTGGCCACTGTGCACGCATGTTTATGCAAGAGCTGCTACTTTTGAAGGTTTATTACATAACTATGGCAAAACATTTTCATTTCTGAATTTTCAAAGATAATTTACAAAAATAAAAAATTATGGGAGTACTTGGCCCACAAAAGACTCCACACATTCTCTATCAACATTTAGTAAACTTTGAGAATAAACACATTCAGTTGCTAAAAAACACACCTTTGCTTTGCAGACTGCAACATTCCTCTCACGCTTGTTTGGTTTTCAGTACACTATGTTCTTTCATCCGGGGTCAAATTCTTTCCACTGACCTCTATGGAAAAATTTTAAAAGGTCTGCTATATTGTTTATTTTAATGTAATATTTTTTTACATTCTCAAAATACAGTTCTATATACATAAATAAAATAAAATATGTTTATCATTACCAAGCTTCTAACGTATTGAACTTACTGTATGCATCTTTTATGCATTTTGTTAACATTTCTAAATGGTTTTCTTTTTTCTAAATCATAATTATGTTACGTGTTGACTTTGAATAATAACAGAATTTAAAGAGAACAATGCCTTTCTTCCTTTGCGTATAATGTAAAAAATATACTTAAGGTCAGTTTTGTTCTGTTCTCTATATTGTACTTTCTTCTTTATCAGTCATTGCAGACAGGGAGCTCAGCGAGGTTGCAAAAGCTGCCATTAGTCATTATACAGCCTAGGTTTAAAAGAATGGTTGTTTCTAACTCTTCCTATAAGATATATCTTTAACAAACAGTACACAAAAGAACAAAAAAAATAAGACTGGCATCACGTTTAGCTTTACAGCAAAAATCAGTTTCATAGATTCACGTTTTAATTTTGTTTATATACTATAACCACTGTTCATGTTGTTTATCAGTGTGTTTCATGAAGGATGGTCTTGTTTGTTTCTGGTCAGCTGTTTATCTATGATTGATAGCTATGGGGTTTCTTCACTTTTAGAAAAAAAATAAAACTATGATACTCCCTTGATTAAAGAATAAACACATAACTTGTAGAAGCAAAGCATATTGTGTCAGATTACAACTATTTTTATGGCATTTCTAAAACAAATGTA